TTTTACTTCTAGTAGTCTTTATTATACTACACCACCTGGGGAAGAACAATCTACAATGGAGCCTGCATATAGCAGGCCTTAACTGCAATACCTACCACATCCAGTGGTTAATGCTGCCATGAATGATAATTCAACCTACACTAATCTCCATCTATATAATTCTTATGATCCCTTCACCCTCCTCCTATCACCCCCCTTATAACCCCCTATATGCCCCCTATAACCCCCTCCCTATCAACCTCTCCTATCGCCCCCTCTATTGAAGTGGTTTACAGGGTATTGTGCTTCAGGCGGTAGCAAGCAAGCAAGGATCAGGCTTTTAGTATAATTGATTTGCTATTTAATCATCTATAATAATTATAAATGATAAAACAACAAGAAAAGAATCAGGGCAACTAAACTAATCAACCACTGAGTCAATTGACTTCAAACTTTGCATGTAGGCCGTAGTGGATATGAAATACAACATATCCAAATCAAAAGCGATAATTCCGCCGGGAAGGGGTTACATTGTGGTGTCAAAGTCAATGAGTTGAGGTGCGATGTTTGATGGGGTAAGCCACCAACCCAACCAGACCCAACTAAATATATATATTTTCACCCAGGCAACGGAGCGGTGCAAAGCGGTGCAAGATCAACAAAGTAAATAAAAATAGCAAAACATATAAGAAAACCGAAAGGCTTCATTCTGGAGTGATTTTAAACACAGAAAAACAAACATTCACACCAGATCAGATCTGTCAAGTTTCACACAAAGACACTGAATGAAGGAAATATATATATATTCAATGCACAAGACAGACCAAGCATCGACATGGAACATCAATTATTTATCCACTGTGAATCATACCTCATTATCATATGCCGCCGGTGCAAGCACGCTGTGTGGCCAACAGAGATTGAACGGCATCTGAAAGGCAAGGCCCATCAGCTAAAGCATGCGGTGGTTCAGCAGATAAAGGAGAACATTGAACAGTGGGACAATGTGGCTCGAGATACTACACAGTTAACACTGCCCACAATACTGAATGAACCAATCCCGGAACTACCCATTCAAGATGGCTACAGGTGCCAGCGGGATCCCCAGTGCCAGTATGTGGCAGGGAACATGAACACCATGCGCAAGCACTGGCAGAACAAGCACAGCTGGTCGCCATATCCCAGCCGTGGCCGTACAGCGCCACAAAAGCGTACGGCAGCACAGGATGAGGTGGACAGATCATGCCAGAAGGTGCAGTTCCAGCAGATATTTGCATCGCGCAAGGGCTCCCACTACATACAGATCCAGACTAAGGAGACTACTGAGCATACCGGCACGCCAGACCAGAACAGAGCCAGCCAGGCCATTGATGAGCTGGAGCGATTTTACCAGGAACAGCAACGGCAGACCAGCAATGTCATCCAGGCCGGGGAGCACGATGAAGCCAACCCATGGCTGCGGCGGACCAGATGGCCGGTGTACTTGACCAACATCGCACCCAATGATCTGGTCAACTGCGTCCAGCGGCCCGACGATGACACCACGTGCCCAGATGAACTGGCCGCGAGGGCCATCTGGGAGGCCATGGGTCAGGTTGCCCGTACCAGCCAGCGAGTCATCACACGGCTGGGCCACTTCGTCCGCATCGAGGCCATCCGCACAGAGCGACACCAGACCCGGCACACCCCGTTGCAGGCGTACATGGACTACGGGCGCCGACATGAACATGTTCCACCCTATACCGGAGGGGAGAATACCCTCGGAATTGGTGACCTTCTTTCTGTCCCAATCGTTGTTGGTGATGTATGTTTGGGACACGAGGGTGTATATAAAATTCTTCAATGACGCGAAGAATAGAAATATTTTTGAGCAGGTTGCCTGCTCTCTGGCTGACAAGGGCCACTGCTTTCTCATATTTGAAGACGAACGAGTTATAGTGAAACAAGTGCCAGAGCTGTGGAAGGCAACACACAGCACGGTGGTACTGG